CCCTTTTCCTCCTGCCACATTGCAGAGAGAAAAGAATGAATGAATGAGTGAATGAATGAATATGGAAAATCGATGGGTTTGAAGTCAACCTCACCGCTGCTGCGTTCCGCCCTCTGACCTGGGTTCCCTCCTGCAGCTTGAGCGTCCACTCCCGCCTCAGGGGAGTGAGGGGCATTGAGGTCTGGGGCCCAGGCTGCGTCCAGCACCGACCCTGGCGCCCTCCCGCAGCGGCCTCCGTGCCCTTTCCTCCTGACACCCCTCCTCTCTCTGCCCGACAGACACTGGCTTTCCTCCGCCTACACACAGTTCGCAGTGCCCTACTTCATCTACGACATCTACGCCATGTTTCTCTGCCACTGGCACAAGCACCAGGTCAAGGGGCACGGAGGGGACGAAGGAGAGGCCCGGGCCCCCGGCAGCACCTGGGCCGTGGCGCGCGGCTACCTGCACAAGGAGTTCCTCATGGTGCTGCACCACGCCGTCATGGTGCTGGTGTGCTTCCCGCTGTCGGTGGTGAGTCCCGCGCCTGGCGCGCTGTGGGGAGCCTGGGGGCCCCGGGGGAGGCCCCAAGGAGGTGTCCTGAGCACAGCCCAGCCCCAGGCCGCAGGAGCGGCTTGGAGCTGCGGCGGCTGCCTGTGTCTGAGCCTCGGTTTCCTCGTGCGGAACGCACCGCACACCATCCTGCCGCCAAGGCTCCTGGGTACAGTGAGGGCAGGCGCAGGCTCAGAACGAAGCCTCTGGAACAGCGGTTCTCAAGCTGTGGGTCTCGACCCCTTTGGGGGTCCCTAAGACCATCGGAAAACACAAATATAATTACATATTGTTTTTGTGATTAGTCGCTATGCTTTAATTATGTTCAATTTGTAACGATGAAATTGGGGGTCACCACAACATGAGGAACTGTATTAGAGGGTCGCGGCATTAGGAAGGTTGAGAACCACTGCTCCGGAAGGTGGTGGAGGGAGAGCAGGAGAGCAGGTGCTGCCCACGCGCCCAGGGCGAGGCCCGCTTCCTTGCTCTCCGCTCAGGTGTGGCGTCAGGGCAAAGGCGACTACTTTCTAGGCTGCCTGCTGATGGCCGAGGTCAGCACGCCCTTCGTCTGCCTGGGCAAGATCCTCATCCAGGTGAGTGGACCTGCGGGTGCAGGAGCCTGCGGGGCTGGGGGGCGCGGGGCGGGCAGGCGCCCCCAGGGACCGCCAGGGG